AGGGTACACTCCAGTCATCTTCCTCCCTGGGGAAAAGAGGTCAAGATGATGACCTGAGTTCTCCCATCAGCAGGGTCCCTGAGTGCAGCCTATTTGCTGGCTGCTAGAAGCCTGACGTAAGGAGAGCTTGGCATCCCTTACAAGGCCTCCCTGGAGACTGCAGCAGTTCCTATCCTCAGTGGAGAATGATTTTTTAAAAGGCTACATTAAGGAACCAGGAGTTTCCGTAATAAAACTCCAGCAGGGAAAGTGAAAAACTTCATTAGGACGCAGTCTCTAGGGGACGGGTCGGGCAAAGGTACCTGTGGCAAAGGTGGGGAGGGGCTGGGTAGTGGGAAGTGGGCACAGGGCCACAGCTGCCTCGCCTCATCTCCTGTACACCCCAGAGGGATGGGCAAGTCCGGAAGAGGAGCCAGGGTGGGGCCCAACAATCCCCAGGCTCCTTATCAGGTATTGTGTCCAAACTTAGCCCTACTCATTCTCTTTCAAAGTTTATAGTCTTAGAAAACCCTGGAGATTTGTTCTTGGTGTGTGAACTTTCTCCTTGCAGACAGAAGCCTCTGCAGCTCAGGACTTGGGTGAGGCTGGGTGGGTCCTTAACTCGGGTGGAAATTGGGCTGTTTCTGAGCAACTGTCTTCTAGCTCTGAGAAGAAGAGGTAGCTGGCCAGGAGGTCTCGGTTTGCTGGAATGGCAGAGGCATGTGAGCCAGTCCTCTGGGCCCCACCCAGCTAGAACTGCAGCAGGGGCCCCAGCCAGCCCACAGAGAGGACAGGCTCCTGGTGGCTGCTTCCTACCTGCTCCTCCAATCAGGGGATTCTAGGGATATCTAGGACCTGTCCTGAGCTTAGCTAAATGAGAGGGAAGCACAGAAGCCATCTGAGAAAGTGAAAAGGTCTGTTTTCCCCCCTTACTCTAACCCCTCTCTGTTGTCCCACCCTTTCTTAGAGACCAATCTGTTGGGTTGCAGGACAGCCACAGTCATAGGGGAATCCTAGGCCTCCACAGAGGACCATAACAGACACAGGAGGGGCCATGAGGCAGGCTGAGTGGGGGAGGACAGGAGCCAGAGGCAGGGCAGAGTCCAGGCCCAGGGTCAGCAAACTAGCAGCTTAGCAGATCCATCCTTGGGGTGGCCAGGTCCTACTCTGGCAGCACCTTTGGAAACCAAGATGTGGCTATTCCATCTGGGAGGTCAAAGCCTGCAGAGTTTACAGGCTTGGAAGGCAGAGATTAATAAATTAATCTCATGAGTTAAGAAAGGGAATTAACCTCATCAGCATTTTTCCAAAGTGTGCTCTTCAAAACATTAGAAATAAGATATTTGCTGCTCTGTGGGAAAAAAAATGACGGAGGACCAAATGTTTTAGAAAATCATATCACACATAGTAGGCACACAAATTAGAGATCACCACAGCACTTCTCAGGGCCTTCATAGGGCAAGCAAGAAGGCTGAATACCACTCCATGGGGGCCAAGGGGCTAGAGATTTATTTGACCAGGGCGACCATGAGTTCATGGAGAATCTCAAGGGATTATTATTTCGCAGGACACCATTGTGGCAACACTTGACTAGTCTCTTTCTCTAAGTCCCTTTCCAGCTTTAAACCTGTTTGGGAAATCATGAAACAGAGGCCCAAAGACCAGGGGAAGTATGAGAGATTTAGAGGAAAAAGCTGTGAGAAGACCATAGAGAGAGAGTGAAATCGCTGAGGCAGGAAATAGGGCTTGAGATGGGAGGGGGATAGGGTATGGAGGCCAGGGAGAAGTCTAAGCTGGAGGGGTCTTCAGGGCGTGGGTGGTAGTGGACCACTGGGAGCAGAGGCACTGGGCCACCAGTGAGAGCAGTGCACAAGGGGACAAGGAGGCTGGAGAGGTTGCATTTGCACCCTTCCCAGCCCAGCATTCTGTGCCAAGTGGATGCTCTGCTGATGCCTCAGTCAGTGGTGATAAAGCTTGGGCTGGGGTCACAGAGTTTCAGGCTCCATCAGGCCTAGGTGTTTGTAGAGGGTGCAGGGAGCAAAATGAAGGGCCCAGCTCCAGGGCCCAGGCTGTAAGACGGGACTGATGACTGACCTGTTAAACCCCCTAGCACAGACTGAGGGGCCCGTCCAAGCAAGAGGCCCATGGCAGGCTCCCTGGGGAGGTGGAGTATATCACTCCCATCTTTAAAGTGCCCCTGTGGTTTCTCCAACCCCCTTCACTCCCCATCCCACCCCTTCCCAGCACCATTGGAGTCTGCTCTTTGGGTAGCAGGCACGATGTCACTGGAGGGATGGGAGCCATGCTCAGAGGGGACTTCTGCAGCATGTCCAGTAGGTCAGACTCTTGGGGGATCACCTTCTCCCCAGAAGCTGCAGCCCCCACAGCATAGCCCCAGCCCCCCAGGCATGAGCACAGTGGCCTTAATATACATTGGTATGTGGCTTGGGAAGAAGGCAGGAACCAGGCCTGCTGTTACAAATGTTGTGTTGTTATTGTGAAAAAGGAACAGAGCTGCCTATGTGCCCAGCTGCCCTTTGCCAGCACTTTTTTTTCTGGCTCAAGATCCTCCTAAAGTTCTAAGAAGGTCAGCCTCACAACCATGCAGGGCAGTATTTTTCTCATTTAATGAACAATCTCAGCTTCATAGACGAAGCCCTCTGACTCCTTCCTTCCTTTGATACCCATCTCCCTTCCAGAAAATACCACCCAAGATGACCTTCTCCCTCATGCAACCGATGGGGAGGGTTCTTCATTTCCGGCTCTTATAGACACCATCAGTTAATTTAGTACAGAAATACACTGATACAATAATGATATAATGCTGTTATGTAAATATTAACTTCATCCCTTTCCTTGTAAGTTCTGCTTTCCAGAGTTCAGGGGCAGTCATGACAATAAAAATAACAATGGTAATTATGAGAAGTGTGATGTGAAGACAGAGAAACCACAAGGCCCATCTCAACGTACAAATACAAAAATAAAACTTACGCATAGAGGGCATTTCCAGGAGTTAATAACACACACACACACACACACAGTACCATGGGGGTGGGGGAGGTGGTTGGTACAAGCCGTCCATACTTTTCCAAGTGCAGGGGCTCGTTGTTCAGGATCTTGTGCTCTTCTCCCTTCATTTCCCAGAGTAACCTCCCAGAGGACCCTGCCTGGAGCCTGCCAAGCCCGGGCCCAGCCTAAAGGCACTGAGGGCCCGGTGGTTTCTTGCTGGCTTCCTGAGATAGAGGGCAGAGCTGGCTGCAGTTCTGACACCCTTTCCTGGAGCTCTGCATTCGCTCCTCCTCTTCATCGCCTCAGTCTCCCTCTCCCTTATCTCCAGCCACCCTGTTCCTCCTCTTCTTCTCTGCTTTACCTGCTGACCTCCCCGCAGATAGCACCCCCAGGCAGGAAGGATCGTCAAGGTGGTGTTAGATTAACCTCAGTGCTTCTGGTTCGCTTATTGTACAGTCAGAGGGGAGAAGGGGTGCTCTTTCAGATCCCAGTTCTCTGGGGGTGTCAGGGGTCAGGGAAGATAAAATCCAAGGCAGTCTGGGTTTGAGTTTCAGTGGGGCAGGAAACCCTGTCTTGCTTTCTATCTTTTTTTCCCTCCTTTCTTTGTCTTATTTTTTTTTTAATGGAAGGAATCTCAAACCTGATGCTCTTGTCTTCCTTCTGTTGGTTTTGTGTGTCACTAATTTGTTCACATGCAGGCTGGGAACAGCTTCTCATTTAGTCCTCCTCCTCCCCCTTTGTGCCCCCCAGCCTGAGAAACTGCTGATGGCAAAAAATACCTCCCCTACACGCCCAGGCAGAATGTGTCCCTGCCATCAAGCCTCACCCCCAAGAACCAGCAGGATTTATAGTTCTTGGTTGTTTTGTCTACATTTTTTCCCTTAAAAGAAAAAGGGTCTTCCTACATAAACTATTCATGCCCAATGCTTATTTAGCAGAAAATAGAGATTCCAGGGTTGGAAACATCTGGCCTTCCTGGTGGCTCCAGAACTAATTGATGCCATCTTGAGTCCTTGAGGATGCCTGCTCCTGGGTCCCGTAGTCCGTCTTAAGGGTCTCCTACCCTCTCTCCATCTCAGCAGCCTCTCAATCCTCTGTGGCCCTGGACAAAGCCCTGGCCCTGATCCTGAGAACCCACTGTGGAGGCCTGCAGAGCCTCCACATTCCCACCCTCCCAGGGCTGGGGGTGTGCTTGCAGTGCCCTTGGAACGACAGTCCACTCCTCCCACCCTCATACTTCCTCAGCTCCCTCTCCCTGTCTTTAGTCCACAGGATTTAGGGATCACATTCCCGTAGAATCCACCCTTCTCCCTGCTCATCAGCATGGAGACCATGGTGGTGGGTGGGGGAATCCTATTTAGAGGGGTGGGTATCCCAGAAAACCTGGCCTGGCAGCTCAGGGCCTTTGAAAAGGAAGTCAGGCTATGAGAGCCCCCTCCCTGGTCTGTGAAGTAGGGCCTGAGGCCCAACCTCCCTCAGGTCCCAGGAGGCTCCAGCAGTCTATGCTTCTGAGATGCTGAGATGTAGAAGAGGCAGTGGGCCATGAGTATCAGGGCACAAGGGGGGTGGTTTCTTGCTGCTCCACCTGCTCCATACCTCCACTTTCCCTCCCCAACTTGGTCAAGGTACCTCTTCTTAAGGTGCTAGCTTAGAGGCCACTTCCACCCTTCTTACAGGTTGCCTGAGAGCCTCCTGCCCAGACACCTCCTTAGACCCACCCACATACCCATTCTGAGGGTCACTCAGAATGGCCATTGTTCTGCAGGCTGGGAAAGAACCACCCAATGTTCTTGCCTCCGGGCACAACCGGAAATGTGCTCCAGAAGCCAGGCCATCTCTGAGAACAAACGGCAGGCCCTTTGGGGCTGCCATGACCACAGGGTGCTGGCCCCAGTCTGGTACTGAGAGCACAGAGAGGGGCAGGGAATAGGCCTCAGGCACTTGCTCCTCCATCAGGCCCACAGTCTTTCATATAGATGGCCTGATAGAGGTGTAGGGGAAAGAGATTTCCATCTCTAAGAGGCAGCCAGACATCCTGGCCTCCTCTGCCCTAGCTGGGTGGGTGGGAGATGCTGAGGGCTGCTGCTGGGCCCCCGGCCCATCTTGACCACCCCTTCCCTGCCCTCTTCTATGTGGCCTCCACCTCCCGGGGAGTCCGATTGCGCTCAGCCTGCACCCGGCTCTTCACCTTCTTGCCCAGTTCCATCCCCACCCAGCCCTTGCCCTTAGCCTGCTTGCCCCGGCTCCAGGAGCCTGAGTGCTCCCCAATGCCCCTGCACCACACGCGCTCACAGTATTCATCCACCCGGGGCAGGTTGGCGAAGCCAATGAGCTGCAGGATGTCCTTGTACCAGGCCTTGGGTGGGGCAGAGGCCAGGCCTCTCCGGACTGGGGGCTCTTCTTGCCTTGGCTCCAGAGGGAACAGGCTATCCAGCTGCGAGGCCACAATCACCTCCAGAGCCAGGCGGACCACAGTCTGGGAGAAACCGTGCTCCAGCGTTGTGCAGGTGTAGGTGCCCGCATCGAGGTGGCTGAGCCTGCGGAACAGCAGTCCCTGCTCCGTTTGCAGGACTCGCTCATCTGTCTTCACCTGCCAGGCGGGTGGGAGGGCATGAGGGGGCATGAGGGGGCTGTGGGGCAGAACATGTACCATCAGCTTCTCCACCTGCTGCTTTTCCAAATTTTCCATCCTTGGAGCCCAGTGCTTGGGTACTTCCTCTGCCCATTCCCCAGGAGGGGAGCAGCAGCTTGGCAGGCTTGGCCTCCTCTAGACTGTGAGCTAATTGCAGGCAGGGCCTTTCCTTCCCATGGCCCAGAACAGGGCCTGCAAAGGGGGATTTTCAAAGGTTCGACTGACTGGTTTCTCCCCTAGTTGAAGCTCTGGGCCACCAATCTTGGCCTCAGAGGGCCCTGTCAAAGAGGGTATCTATTTACTCAAGAGAGGGGCTGGTAGGGGTCTAGCCCCAGGACTGGGCTTTATAGAACTTCCCTCCTTACACACACACACAGGCACACTCGACCTTCCTGTCTTAGTCTGCACTGTTCACTGCCCCCACAGTGCGAGGCCAACAGCCCCAGCCCCGAGTGGGCCAAGTACCCATCACAGCATGGGAGGCGGGAGTTCTGCTCTGATCCCAGCCCATCCCTGGCCTGAACCCTGTCTGGGCTTTCGTCTGTGCATCTGTATGTTGAGGGCGGACTGCGTGGGCTGTTAGTGTAGTGTAACTACATCTTGTTGCTTCCCCCTGACCTCGGTAGTCTTCTCAGTGCCCAGCCCAACAGCTGGCCCCAGGCTGCCTTCCTCCCCCACCCCCATTTCCAAGCTGGAGGGTGAGCCCCTCTTGTAATGACCTCACTGCTACCCCTCTCCTTCCCTGTAAGAGAGCAGGTTCCTCACCCTGCCCACCCATGCCCCTCCTCAGGCTGCAGACTAAAGCCTTCTCTGGGGTTGACAGACCTTTCTGGAGGGGAGAGGAGAAGGCCTAGGCAGACAGCTGGACTCCAAGGAGGAGGTGTGGGGCTAGGCAAAAGGGGGGCACAGGCCAGTTGTCAGGGACCCAGGCCTGGGGCAGAGGAGGTCCAAGCACCCACGAGAAAAAGACTCCTTCAAAAATGAGCCATGTGTGTTAGCATGGGGGACCTCCTGACCAGCCCAGACTCCCTCCCTCTCCTCCATCTCTGCTACCCTCCTCTCAGAGTGGGGAATTTCGGCCACATCTGCCCTGGGCATTCCCAGATGGCAGAAATAGTGGCACCTCCTTCTAGGCACCCCAGGGGCGTAATATACAATTTTCTTAGGTTGATCTTGGCAGATTCCCTCCAGAGTCCCTCCCTTGGGCTCAAGGCTTGAGGTTCAGGGAGAAAGGTGACCTCAGGACACATGGAGACTGGAGGCAGGGTCCTCACTCACCCGGTCAGGCCTCTCATCCCCTGGCCTCTGCAAGAACCAGTGCACAGCAGCCTGGGGAGATTTGGGCAGGCACTCCAGGAAGGTGCTGTTATGCTCCATGCCATAGACCGTAGTAGCTGCCACAAGTCCCGCAGCCTCCTCTGGAGAGAGGTGAAATTTGGCTCAGCTTGGGAACTATGGGACCCAGGCTCTGAGAGCCACCAACTAACTCCCACAGCCCAGGACCTAGGTGTCCATCAATCCCCTAGCCAATCACTGTGTCCAGACCCTGCACCCATGTACTGACATTAGCTGTACAGATAGAGAAACAGGACTGTTTGCTACAACAAGAGCAGTGTGAAGCCACACTTCGTAGGGGTTGAGCCCAGGCTACAGGGATGAGTAAGGGTCCTGATAAACTCGGCCAGTGGCCCCACACCTGCTGCCACTCACCTTCCTGGCTCTGGTCCAGGCACTGCAGGGCAGGGTTGCCATGAAGGATGTCCTGACGGCGGAACCGGCGCTTGCTGGGGTTGGGGCGGTAGCGGGTACAGGAGGCACCATCCCAGGCGCAGTATGGGTCCCGGGCCAGGCAGCACTCCGCACAAGCACTGCCATAAGTTTCACACTGGTGCAGCCGCAGCTGAGCCACACCCAGCTGAGAGCCCACATACAGCATTTGCTGGGGAAGGACACAGGTAGAGCCTGAGGTAAGCCCAGCCTTTGCCCAGAAGTAGCCAGGCTCTCAGCCCTCTTGGGTTTACCAAAACCCCTGCCACTTGCAGGAAGTCTTCCAGAACCTCTTGGATTCATTCACAAAAGTAAGTTTTATCATCCACCTGCTATATGCCAGATCCTGTACTAGGACACAGAGGGGACAGGGCAGAACTGGAGTCTTTTCTCCAAGGTTCTTCTCCAGGTTCTCCCTGCTGCCAGCCTTTGCCCTCTGCCCCAGTGGCCTTTATCCTGGCTTGCCTCTGATCTTAGAGGTGCACCTTACTTTAAGAAATCCCAGAACAAATGTCAGGATTTACCCAAAGATAAACTGAAGCAAATAAACTTGGGGAGATGGTATTTTCCATTTGCAAAAGGGCACACAGCAGTCCTTTAAAAAGTGTCTCCCTTGTGTTATCTAAAATCCGGATTTTCTTTTCAAGTACATTTTTGCCTCCTTAGGAACAGGCCTTTGTGTATCTCCCCTTAGCTGAACACATCCTGGCTTATTCGGCACCTCCCAATGCTCACTGGCTTCCTGAATGTGAATCTCTGCTCCCAGCTGGACTCTGGACCCTTGTTGCAGGGCCTGATTAGGCCTGCTGCTGCATAGCATTCCAGCAGGCCACAGCTGTGCTCAGGAGGCTGCAGACAAAGGGGCACAGGAGGGATGCATGGGGAGGGGTGGCAGTTGCTCTTACCCTTTTGACAGAGATCTCCATTTCAGTGATGGGTGCTGGCATCTGGGGAAGGAGCAGGGTTTCAATGTGAGGTGGGGTGAGATGGAACCCTCCGTTGCATTCCTGATTTCAGCCTCCTCCAGCTACTGAGGTGGAAACCACCCAGCTCCCAACCTGGGTCAGTGCACCCCTGGCAACTAAGGCTGCATGGTCTTTACCAGATATCAGGCCACAAGAAATTTCCCCTTAGCCTGGTGGCCTCTAAGTAGGAGGTTGGCTAAAAGCACAGAGCTCCAGTGCCTCCCAACACAAACACACAGCACTGTTCCCCAGCAAAGAGGCAGATATCTCAAATCACCCATCTCAGGTCCAGGAGCCACAACAGTCCCTTAACAGAGATGACCCCCTGCCTGAGTCTACAGCAGGGCTAACAGAACCCTTCCGGGATTGGGGTCTCAGCTACCTCTTCACTATGACTTGAGCTCAGCAGAACTCTGTCCAGGGGCACTCACCTTGGCCATCCCTCCCCGGGCACCCCGGGGCACTTGCAGTTCACAACTTAGCAAGGCCTCTGCAGCAGTGTGGGCCACACTTTCAGCCCCCAGTCTGCAAGGTCAGTAAAGAAAGGCCGGCTCCCTCCTGGACTCACTCCCGCTTTCCTGTAGCCAGACCCAGACCCTCCCATCAGCCCCCCTGCTCACCTTAAACACCTGGAGCTCCTCTAGAACCACCTCCTCGGGCTCAGCCGAGTCTCCGGCCTGGAGGGCAATGACTTTGAGCACAGAGCCTGAGTCTGGGGCAGGGGGGAGGGGTCAGGGGGAGAGGAGGGGCAACCAGGCCCCACACACCTCCCAGGTCTGGCCATCCCAGTTCAGCTCTCCTACCAGTCCCCAGGAAGATGACATCGTAGGTCCCATCCTCTGCCTCCACACGGTCTACCACAATCTGGAGCAGCTGCTGGGCCAGCTGTGTCTTGACAAGGACAGGGCGGCCACGCTGAGGCCGCACAGGCCGGAACATGAGCGGGTGGGCTCGGACAAACTGTAGCACCTCATCCGGGTAGTCCTTGGTGCTGCCAAAGGGACGTCCTGGCTGCGCGGTCATCTTGCTGGGGCACTGCACAACCCCAAAGGGAATGCCTGAAGTATCCTGGGATGGCACACTCCTCCACCAGCCCCACCAGGGGGACCGCTCTCACTGTAGAGGCTCCTTAAGCAGTCAGGGCTCTCTTCTGCCACCACAGCCCACCCTGCTCAGGCCCCCTGGAGCCCCAGCTCAGAGGCTTATGTGGGGCTGCATGTTTCCCTGGCCTGGCCCAGGCAGATACTCACCACGCCAGGGCGGGGAAAAGGCACCTTGCCTCCATAGGGTCCCCACTGGTGCTGAGGACCATCTCTGTGGGCAAAGGGCCCATTGAAGACCTTCCAGATGTCCGCCATGTGGTACACACAGACAGCAAAACCCTGGAACACGGTACTGCCGAGCGCAGACAGGGACAGTCAGGCCAGGGTGGCAGGAAGGATAGAGGGTGACAGTCCCTGCAGCAAGGAGAGACTCCAAAAAACAAGGACACCGTGGCACAGACAAAGGGAGGGAGGGAGACAGAATAGTCACGGAGTCACCAAATCCAGGTCAAAGGCAGGGACCCATCACAAGGCTGGGTTGGAAAGCAGAGGCTCAGAAGAGGGGCTGGGGGTGCGGAGACTGGTCTGGGGTGGTGGGGTGCAGGGAGGCTGGGTGTGCCCACCTGACAGCACTGAACAGTGCGTACACCTCGAGGCTTTTCCCGGCCTTGGGCCACAGCAGGAACACGTCCTCTGGACACAGAAGAGGCACAGGCATCATGGTGACCACCAATGCCCCACTCACCAGCTCTGAGCCCTCTCCTCCCCAGCACCCATTCCTGCCCAGCCACGCCCTTACCCAGGTGGTCAAAGTGGGTCTCGGCACCACCAGGGCCAGGCACGGAGCAGACCAGCCTGGCCTTGAGGAAGGAGCTCCACTTGCTCACCAGAACGCGCTGGCCACCGGCGTCATTCTGGGGGTGCAGCCAGAGTCAGCCTTGGGCCCCATGAGGATGGGCCCCAGCTCCTGCCCCTTCCCCTCACCCACTGGGAGAGAGGTGTGGATGTTGGCTTTGCATCCTTGCCTCAGTTTCCCGACTGCTGTGGGGGGAACAGGTCTGGGAAGGGGAGGTGCAGTCAGGACTTGGACCTTATCACCCCTTTACAGCTCTCACCACACAGACACGGCCCACGCGGCTGACAGTGACACGGCCGGGGCTGCCATCAGGTGAGGGGACGGTCTCCGAGAAGAAGAAGTACACCTTGTCATTGTCCTGGTCGGAGTTGTCAGGGATCCGGGTGGCCATCACAAACCGGGGGTCTGGGAGGGTGGCATCAGCAGGGAGGGGCCTCTCAGGAGAGGACGGGGCTGAACCCAGCGGGGAGGGGAAGAGGCACAGGGACCCCCACTGGAGGCTGGTGTCCCAGGGAGTAGAATGGTCTCTCCTCCCCACTCCAGCGTCTCCTCTCCTTCCAGTTCCAGGGCAGACCCCAGCCAGCCTTGCCCTCAGCGGGCCTCACCATTCAAGAGGCTCTGGTCAGAGTCAGAACGCAGGGCTGGCCGGGAACCCCCACTTCGGAAGATCATGGGCTCGCGCCCCAGGAAGTCAGCAGTGAGGCCCGTGTACAGCGCCCCGTCTGGTGGGGTTGCAGAGTCAGGGGAGGAGGGCCAGGCCCAATAGCTGGGTCTCATCCCTTCCCAGTCCCACCTTCCCTGTCCCCCCCTGGCCTGGGCATCACCCACCTACAGAGGTGCTGGCAAAGGGACGGCTGGGCTCATGTGGGCACCGCCCCCGCCCACTTTCCATACTGGAAGGCTCCAGGTGGAGCACATGCTGCGGGAGGGAAGGAGGGGCAGGGTATCACCTGGGAAGGAAGCACCAGTCCCCACACCCAGGAGGGCTGTGGCCCTTGCGTGCAGCGGGAGAGTGGGGGGTGAGTGGAAGGCACCCACATTCAGGCCTCTCTACTGCGGTCACTCCCCAGCACAAAGGCGCCTTTCAAGCTCCTGCCCACTCTGTCCCTGCCCAGGCTCAATGGGAAGCGTTCAGGCAGCAGGGAAGAAATGTCATGGCTTCCCGTCCCTCACGGCCCCACCCAGGCTCACCTCCCCACGGTGCCCAACTGTAATGAGGGTGCAGGTGGGCTGGAAGGCCCCAGTGCCACAGGCCAGCAGGTGGGTCCGGTTGTAGGGCTGCAGCAACCGCACGAAGTTGGCACACTCCGTCTAGTGGGGAGAAGGAGGGTTGGGCCGAGGAGTGACAGGGGTTGCTTACCCTTCCTTAGCCCCCCCAGGCTCAGCCCTGTGTGGCAAATCGACTCCAGGGAAGGAGATGAGAGTGGCATCCTTTACAGACTTTCGGAGAAAAGCCCTCAAGATCTGTTTCAAATGCCCCACAGCAGGCCCACCTGGGGGAGCAGCTGCAGGCTATCCTGGGGGTCAGGGTCTGGGGTCGGTTGGCTTGGGGGACAGTCCCTCCCAACAAAACTCACCAAAAGATCTCTTCCCTTGCGAACACATTCCTCCTTCTGTCCTGGCTGCGGTGGCCACAGGACCTGAAACACAGCCTACCTGACCTCAGGTACTCCCCTGACCTCATAGCCTGTTTTCCCATGCAGAGGTGCCCAGCTCTCAGACAGACCCTCTCCCTGTCAGTCCAGCTCACCTCCCGGGAGTCTGGCCATCCCTGGTCCAGCCGCAGAGAGTAGAGAACATCACGGCCCCCCAAAAAGAGGCGGTCTCGGTACTCATCCAGGTACATAGCCCGGAGGTCCAGGGAGCCCCGGGGGCCCAGAAAGATGGCAGAGCGGTTGGAAGACAGGAGGTCTAGGAGGCAGAAGAAAGGCAGGTTGGGCTTGCTGCCCCACCTACTTCCCCAGCCAAAGAGTGGAGATGGAGGGTCCCAGCTGTGCATTTACCCCTCCCCGCCACACTCACATCTGGAAAATGTTTCCATCCACAGGGCTTCTGGAAGGCTCTCAGGACATGGCTCCTGGGGGTGGGTGGGACAGGAGCTCTGAGCCCCCCACCCAGCCCAGCCTACCTGGGGCCTGTCTCCCCTCCTCTATTCTTTAGCGCCATGATCTTTCAGCTAACATCTTCCCACTGTCCCATCTGTTCCCTACCTATTCCCCAGGGAAGATGGACCCATTGGCAGAAATTATGGCAGCAAACTGGGCAAGTGCCGGGGGAGACTGGAGGAAGGGTGGGTGATCTGGGCAGCGTGCAGGGCTGACTCAGTTGCAGAAGCAGACAGGCTGGAGAGAGTGTTGCCAGCAGAACACCTGGCAATGGCCTAGGTGCAGGAGAGGCTAGGTATGGCCAGTCAGAGTTCCAGCCTCCAGTCCAAGGTTGTGACTGAAAATGGTTTTTCCCCCCAGTGACACTGCCTGTCACAGCTGCAGAGATAGGAGGGTGGCTGTCTGGGAACATTAATCCCAGGACGTGAGGATCCTGATATGATTCCTTGGGTTTGGCTGGGGTGGTGGAAATGATGGGCGGGCAACACGGCAGGTGGTAGGATGTGCTGAGGAGGGGCACTGACCACCCTTAGGAAGGCTCAGAGTATCCTATGTCTTCCTGACAGTAGCACCTTGACCTAGAACCCACACCATCCCAGAACTCATCAACAGCCTCTTCCAGGAAGCCCTCCGTGGCTAACAGTACCTTGGAGAACCTTCCCTATTTTGTGCTTTTCTGATAGCCTGACCTCCCAAAACTATAGCTCCCAGGGCAGGACCACATTCTCCCTCAGACTCCCCAGGTGGAACAGTGCCCCTCTCCTCAGGCTCTGCGGAGTAGGCCCATGTCTCCCCTCTCAGACTGTGGTTCCTAGGAGAGGGCGATCACCCCTATGGATGCCCGAGAAGAAGAATCTGCCAGGAGCCTATGTCTCAGGGACGTTTGCCATGGACCGTCAGAGGAGGCTGCAGCAGGGCACATCGAAGCTAGAACAGAGGAGCCTCCTGGGCCAGATGGGCAAAGAGGAGGCTGAGACCCTCCCTGGGCTGTAAGGAGCCTCTAGGATTAAGGGAGCACAAAAAAGCCAATGTTGGCAAGTGGGATACCAGGGTGGGGGAGATTCCTCCCCTCCCTGTGGCTTGGGGACCACAGGGACAGGATCTAGCCCCAAGACCCCACTGACCTCCCTGGGCAAAGAGCCCCAGCTGAGCCCAGACAGACCCTACAGACCCGCCCTCTCTGTGTCCTCTCCCCTGACGTCCCTCTGTCCTCCTCCTCCTCTCTCTCTGTCCCATCTCTATTGAGGTCTCTCAGGGTCTCCACCTGTCTCTCCCCCTTTCTCAGCAGCCCCCCTCAGGTTTTCCCGTGTGTGTCTCTATCTCTCCCACTTCCACCTGTCCTGTCTCCCAGGACCTGCCCCCTCCCCTGCCCTCATGCATCCCCAGCACTGTCAGTTGCAGGTGTGACCATAAAGCCCTCCCCAAGGGCTGTACAGGGGGTGGCCCCATCCCCTCCAGCTGGCAGAACAGACTGCCCAGGGCTGGTGGGGGTGTGTCACAGAGCCCCAGGGCACCCACACACATGCACACAAATAGGGCGCGCAATGGCCAGTACCTCGGTAGGAGAGCTGCAAGCGGGGCACACTGGGGCCGGGCCTGTGGATGCCCCCACAGAGCAGGGAGCCCCCCAGAAGGCAGCAGATGGCCCAGGCCAAGGGGGCCATGCTGGGGAGCCAAGGCCACTGCTGCTGTCTGTGGAGCTGGAGCCGCGCTCAGTCCTGCTGGTTGTAGTTTGCTCTGTTGCCACCAGTCAGCCACTTATAAGGCAGTGGCTCCGCCCAGTCCTGGGCAGGAAGGCGGGGAGGAGGAGGGAAGTGGGAACCCTGCCATCTACCTGCAGCTTCTCTCTCCGCTGGCAGCCAGCACGGCTGATGCCTTTGTGTCAGATTGGCCAGTCCTCCCAGGAGACTCTTTCCCAGCTGGGGTATGGACAGTTTGCACAGGGAGATGTTCACAAATGCAGGTCCCCAGGCTCCAGCAAAGTGATAAGTAGGAAGACAGCCTGGAAAGAAGATCAGGGATCAGAAATCAGAGGTTGATGGGCTGGAGAGAGGTCTGGCTGGGCTCTGCTTTGATCCCTGCCCCTCCAGTGTTCCTGGCAGAGAACCCCTCCCCCTCTGGCCCTGTGCCCAGGTCTCCAATACCAGGGTACTCCAGACCCTGAAGCCTCAGCCAGGCTTTCCAGCTCCCCTGGCAGGACTCAAGCTCCTGGGGGATGGGATGGTCATTCTCAGCCCAAAGTGTTCCATGTCCTGGGCAAGGGCTTGAGGTCTGGCCACATTTCACAGATCTGGGATTGGCACTCTTGTCTAACCTCTCTCACACCACAGCCCTTCCCCACATCTACCAGCCCCCATCTCAGCTCACTGGGCTGGCTTTGGGGTAGGGGACAGTATCGACTCCATGCTATGGAAACCCCACTGCCCTGTCTCCCTCAGGCCTCCAGTCCTTCCAGAGACCCAGGGCCCAAAGTGTCACTGGGTCAGTAGTGGGTTCTTCCCAGAGACCCCATGCCCTACACACCTATGATCCCTCCAGAGTTCACTCCCCCTGTCCTGAACTCTGATTGAGGGGGCAGGAGAGACATAGAAGAGGGTCAAGTAGGAGATGAGGCTGAGGGGCTGAAGCTGGGGTGAGTGAAAGGACTTCCCCATGCCCCCGTCCCAAAGCAACTCCTTCCCCTTGTCCCCCACAGCTCCCATCTCACCCTGCCCCAGATCCCTACACTCAGAATGTGAGGCCCTGGGCACTAAGAAGATTTCAACCAAAGTTAGAACTCCCAGGATTCTAGAAACTTCTGAAAATTGAGCCTCCCAGATGGACTGGCCTAAGCCCTCAGATGGTGGTCAGGAAACTTGGGGCGGATACTCAGAAAGGGAAGGGCCTGGCTCAGGACAGATAGCAGGCTGAGAACAGGTCCAGCTCAGCCCTGCCCCTTCCTGGGACCCTCCTTTGCTTCTGGGGCTCCTGGGAGGTACTGGGACCTCACCTACCCTCCCATGTCATCCCTAGAAGGGAAACAGTTGGCCCCTTGAGTCAGCATGAGATGAACCCAGGGACCTACAACTCTGTGTCCCTGTTCCCATCTCTCCCCAATACATATGGGCCTTCTCCCAGGTGGGTGCTGATCTGGAAGTGGGCAAGGGGTTGCTCTGAGAGGCCAGTAACTGGACTCAGCTCACTCCTGCCTCTGGCTCTGTTGGAGAACCTTGGCCAAGGCCCTTCCTTCTCTAGGTCTGTCCCTTCCTCCCAGGGCCAGGGACAAGCCACCTTGGGTATAACAGAGCTTTATAAACTGGTGAGAGGTTCTTGTGCAGGGGCTGCTATGTTGGTGGTTATATCCTGGGACCTCGGTGGGGTGAAGCCCCTCTGCTTCCATTTCCCTGAGGAGATTTTTTGGCACACAGCCCAGGCTGAGGGCCAATATTTAGTGGGAGATTGAACTGGACAGCCCTTCAGCCAGCATGTGGCCACCAGCTGTGGGCAGGAGGCCCAACCACTCTTCAGCCTGCCAGCTCACTCTGGGGGTCTCAGCTTGGCCAGACCCCCAGCTGGGGCCACAGGGAGGCCTGGGTCTACTGGGGTAGGGCGTAGGGGGCAGCCTACTCCACATTGCAGAAAGAGCCTGTGGCAGGGGCTGGGAGCATGAACTCTGTTAACTTGTGTGGCCTTAGTCAGGTCCTTTCCTTCTCTGGGCCTCAGTTTACCAGTCTAGGGAGGGAGGTAAGGATCTTCTCTAAAGGCCCCTGCTTGCTGGCTGCAGATGAGAAATAGACAGTGAGTGTCCCGAATTTTCAGATCAATAGGCCCAGCCACAGGTATTGTGTGTCATCTAGTGGACACAGAGGGAACTGCAGGAGGCCCTAAATCGCTGTGTCAGGCTCTGTGCTGAGCAAGGGGCCAACCGAGCAGAAACCACAGCCTGTGGGGAGGCAAGTAGTAACCAGGCAACCACAACGCAAAGAGGCAGGGGCAGTGGGAGAAGTTCCAGTGATTGTTTCTGATGGAGAAAATCAAAGGAGGCGTTATGGAGGAAGCACTATCCAGCCCTGAAGTAGAGGACAGAACCCAGAAAAACAGGCAGAACTAGACGATATATGTAGGGAGCAAAGTGCCATGTGCTGGTGAGAGCTTGGGAGCCCTGGACTGATATGCGTGTGATGTACGTGTTCATGTAGCAGGTGCCACCAGGTGGGTCACAGCCTAGCTTCTCCCAGCTAGAATTCTGAGGTGGCTGTGCCTGGAAGGAATGAATGTGCCCAGCCCCTTCCCCACCAACCTCATTGATGGAATAGAGATATTAGGACAATGCCATGGGACCCGCCCCTTGCTGTGCTTCCAGAGGGTGAGTCTCCCAGTCAGCCTTCCCTCATAGCTCCTATCCGCTCCTCACTCTCCCACCGGTCCCTGTTCCCCTGCAGCTGATGGAAAGAGAGCCAGGAGGTGGGCAGGAACCCACTTCCCCTACTGCCCCTTCCTGACAGTTCTCACTTCTTGACCCCGGCACACATGGCCCTTGATTGAGGCAGCACTCCCCCAGCCCCCCAGGTGCCCTCTGCAGCTGGCCCAGACGTCCTCCTGTCTCCTTCAGAGAGGGCTTAACTCTCTTCCCCTCCCACAATCCCATCAGCATCCCACATGCCCTGGGTGTCCTCAGCCTCTCAGGTTCTTGTCCTCCTCTCTGCCAATAACCTCTCCTCCCCCACCACAGCCACCCACCCTCCATGTCACCACCAATGAGGATGTGACCTTCTGCATGTCCATTTGGAACATCCCTTCCTCTGAACACCACCATCTGCACCTCAGTACCCCCACTGCCACAGTCCTTCACTCGGTGGAACCCATCTTCCTACCCCACCCCCCAGCTAGGCTCCATGGCCCAGGGCTAGAAAGAGGCCCTTCCAAACGCAACCCAGAGGCCTGCTGCAGCATACAAACCATCGCCTAAGCCCCTCTTTCGACAACCTTCTCTGGACTCCACTCTCCCCTCAGCTCAAGCCCTGTTCCCTGGGTGTTGCCCACACACGCCATCTCTCCTGCACCTTGGCTCACTCCTTGGCCTCTGCAGGAGGCTCCCACCCCACTGCTCCGCTTAAGCCCTCTGTCCAGGTGACTAATGCCTCAGGATCTCCAAGTTCCCCAACCCCAGGGCCATCAGCTTTCTTCCATGCCTCCATCTTTCCCTTCCGGCTCCAGGGCCCATCACTCACCCAGGGTCTCCCACCCCCAATGGCCATGTCTCCTCCTGACTGCCCATGTGGGATACCACCTCTCTCTATGAACTCTCTCCCGGGGACCTTATTCATTTGTGACCAGGGCTGGGAAATTCCTAGCCTGTGCTTCTTGCTCTGATGACATCTAAGTTCACAGCACTCACTAGGTTCTTTCCATTAGCTCCTGCCTGGCTCTGATCTTCCCACCAGCATCTCAAAGGCATCTCAACTTTGGCACAGACCAAAAAATCTCCATATTTCCTGTGATTATTCCGTCAAAAATGCAACACCTGAATCTAGTCTTGAGGAAACACTAGACAAACCCAAACTGAGTGAGATTCTACAAAATAACCAGCCTGTACTCTTCGAAAGTGTCAAGGTCTTGAAGGACAAGGAAGGACTGGGAAACTGTCACAGATTGGTGGAGAGTGTGGAGGCAGGATGACTAGACTCATATTCATGTGATCACTCATCAGCTCCTGGTCCAGGAAAGGGACTTTAGTAGGGTAACTCACAACATTTCTGTAAGGTCTGCAGATGAATTAGTAGTGTTGTGTAGCTGTTGATTTTCTGGGGTTGATCATTGTCCTGTGGTTATTCAAAATGTTAACATTTAGGGAAGTTGTGTGAAGTGTAAATGGGAGTTCTTTGTACTATTTTCGCAACATTTTTGCAAGTCTGAAATTTCAAAATGAAAAGAAAAAACAAAAAAAAACATGAAAACAAAAGTAACCTCCACTTCCCAATACCCCAAGCAGAACCTGTGCCTCCCCCAGGCTTTCATATCTCAGGAAACAGGCAGTTTGGTCAAAAATCTAATTATCCTAGACTCCCTACTTTCTCACCCGTCACATTAGATCCTTCAGCAAGTTCTGTCCCTTCTCGTTCCAAAATGTGCTCTGCGTGGTGCTGACAACACCAAGCCAAGGGTTGAGATCCCCTTACAGGTCATCTTTTAAAAAAAAACAAAATGTGCTCTGAATCCATGCACCTCCCCACCCCTCTCACCCGAGCATCCCACCGGGCCGAGAACCATTAGGCCTCATCGAGAACCTGCCTCAGCCTCAGGCCGGCTCCTGACTTTCCCACAACCCCTTCTCCCCTCCGCAGCCCTGAGAGCACCTCACCACTCCCATCTACTGAGCTTCCCACGGGGCCTGGCACTGTCCACTTCTCCCTGAGGCTGCTGGGACTCAGGTGCCAGACTAACACCGCCTTTCTGTTCCTGAGACTCTCCGAGTCTTTCCCCATACTGTCCCATGGCCAGTTCCCTGTGGTTCTTCAGGCCTCACTCAGTGTCACCTCCTCCAGGAAGTCTTCCCAGACCACTCTCTCTCATGGGGCCACCATGCCTCTACAGTCTCCATTCCTAGCCTGTGCTGGTTTCCTCACCGCATTCGTCTCCTTGTCTTCCCGAGTCAATTATAAATTCCATGAGGTTAGGGACTGGGCCTCATTGGGTACAAGGTAGGTGTGTGAATAAACTATTGAATGGTGCACTGGCTATTGGTGCTGTCCACTGTGGCCCTTCCTTCTCTCCTGGGATGTCATCCTTCCTGGGTAACTCTGGGTGTCTGTATAGGTCCCCAGTTCCCTAGCTCTCAAGGCTAAGGGGACCTCTCTCCCCTCCTTCCAGGTCTTTCTAGGGATCAGGCAGCTCCTGCCAGTTCTGACCTCCATCAGAGGCATCTCTAGAATTCCAAGACCATGTCTGGAATGCCAGGCTGTCTGGGGAATGCCAAGGCTGGGGCACAGGTGCAGAGGCCATGGGGTAGCTGGGCGGAGCAAGGACAGCTGCCAGCATTCTGGCTGGAGCCTGGGTGCCAGTGGCAGCTGTCCCTCCTGCAAGTGCTACTGCTGACACCTCCACTTCCTTGCAGCCCCCAAAGACCCTCTCCCTCACAGCTTCACTGTTCTTATTGCAGCTCTGGCCTGGACACCCCTGCTAAGCTGAGAGCCACTAGGACTTGGGCCTCCATTCCCTGTCAGGGAGGGAGATTGGGTCACTGGAGACCAGCCTCTAAGGTTCACAGGAAGTAGAAATTTGGCCCATCTGGACCTCCATCAGACAGAGCTCTCAGCTGGAAGCCAGGTGACTTGGCTCTACCCCAGATTCATCAAATGACCTTGACAGGTCCCTGCACCTCTCTTAGCCACAGGGTCCTCACTTGTGGAATGGGTGAGGGGAGGTAGAGCAGACTATATGCCTCTCAGTCCCTGGGGGTCAGTGTTGCTGGTGGGAAATGCAGGTGAGTAAGCAGAGGACCAGAGCCGTGGGCCTCAGAGTCCCACAGGGCCCAGCTCTGCTCTAACCAGAAGTAGCTGGGGCTGTTGTGCCCAACAGGCATCCGGGGCAGCTAACTGCTCTCTCCAAGTAGAGGACCCCCAGGTTGCCAAACTGGCTTACTAGGGCAATGGCCTCAGGAGCTTGTGACAATGCAGGGTCCTGGGCCACCACAGACTCTAGATGTTGAATCACTGGAGATGGGGCCTGGGCATGAGCAGTTATACAGAGCACTCAGCGGGGCAGAGAGCCTGGCAGTCCCTGCTCTAATCTGATCCCTCCTGCAGAACAGAAGGCTGTGCAGAACAGTGGTCAGGGCACAGGCTCTGCAGCCTGCCTGCCCGGGATGGGAAAGGAATGGACCCTGGGGAAGGGTCTGCAGCCCCCAGGAAAGTCAGAGCCAGACACCAGGCCTCCAGGGAGCAAGGCTTTATTTGCATTCCCCAGGACAGGGCTGGGAGAGGGAGTCAGCGAGGGCCAGGGGTGGAGGGCACACCCAGGCTCAGGTCCTCTGGACTCCAGCCCCCAGCCCCCACCCCAGGGCCTGGCTGGAGTCAGAGGGTGGGCATGAGCAGCTCTTCGTGAAGGTCAAAGTCTACTCCACGCCCTTCATGAACTCCAGGAACTCTGTGGAGAGAGGGGCAGGCGTGGGTCAGAGGTGGGGGCTGGGTAGGGTGTGGACAGCAGGGGACCCAGCCTACCCACCACTCACCATCGTAGTCGATGCGGCCATCGTTGTTCTTGTCGCCATCCTTCATGAGCTCCTCGATGTCGTCCTCTGTGATGGTCTCACCTGTAGCCTGCAGCATTATCTTCAGCTCCTCCAGGTCGATGTAGCCATCAGCATTTCTGCAGGGAGGTTGAGAGGAGCCTCAGACCCCAGGGTATGGCTGGGGGAAGGGGAGGAAGTGGCCTACCCATGACCCCAGGAGCAGGGCAGGGGGCACTGGGAGATGGGGTGTCCCTCTCCCCATCACACAGAACAGGAGACTGCGGCCTTGGGGTTGCTAGGCCTGGAATCTGATGCTGCTCCCCTTTCCCCAGCTCTACTTGGGGTCAGAGGTCAAGGGTCACACGCTCACTTGTCAAACATACGGAAGAGGTCAGACAGCTCCTCCTCAGACTTTCCTTTGCTGTCGTCCTTCATGCACCGAACCATCATGACCAGGAACTCATCAAAGTCCACGGTGCCGCTGCCTGGGGATGGGCAGCACGGCCATTAGAGAGGCCATGGTCAGAACCTCAGGCCATGCCCTTGACACAAACCTATGTTCTCACCCCGTCCTCCCACCAACTCTGTGAGGTTTGTGTGGTCAGTATGCCCATTTTATACATGGGCCAGCCAAGGCTTAGAGAGGGAAAACAGCTCGTGGCTGAACAGAGCCAGGATTTGAGCCCCTGGGGGGCAGAGGCAGAGGGGCTCACCATCCTCATCCACCTCGTCGATCATCTCCTGCAGCTCCTCTGGTGTGGGGTTCTGGCCCAGCATCCTCATCACCTTGCCCAGCTCCTTGGTGCTGATGCAGCCGTCCTCGGCGCCCAGCACAAAGATGTCAAAGGCTGCCTTGAACTCTGTGTCCGATGGTGGCAGGGGTGGGGGGGATGCACAGAGCAGCCAGGGCTCAGCAGCCGGGACCATGAAAGGCTAGATCCCTGGGGCCACCTGCCAACCTGCCCACCTCCCTCTGAGCCCTCTCTGAGGTCACAGCGAGAGGGACGCCAGCCTCTGGTCTCCAGTCTGGGGTACTCTCCCAATAAGGGGTCTCCATGCTCCCCCAGCCTGGCCCTGTTGTCTCCCCACATGTGCCATAGGGGGCACTCACCATTTTTCTGTTCTTCTGTCAGTTGCTCTACCTAGAGAGGAAAAGGGGTCTTAGGACTCAGACTCAGGGCTTAGCTGCTGTTGAGGAAAGCCACCCATTCCACGGGGGGGAAGACTTAGGCCAGAAGCAGGTCGGCTATTCCCAGGTCACGGAGCAGAGGTTCCAGTCCTCCTTCCCTGCCCACAAAGCCCTGAGATGACCCAGCTGGCCTCACTGAGGCTGGGCTCAGGGCCAGGGTGACAGGTGTGCACCCCTTCCAGGGCCAAGGTGACCCTGAGTAACAATAGTCAGTGACCACTCAATGGCCTTTTGGAGCCCCCCCCCCTGAAACCCAAGTTGGGTGGCCTAAGGGACAGCTGTCCCTCAGGTTGGGACAATAAAACCAGTTTGGGGTAGGCAAATCCACCCACTGTAACCTGACCAGGGTGGCCACTGGGCTATTTTTAACTGGGGACAAAGTTAAACCTGGTGATTGTTCTGGGGACTTTGGCATGCAGGGGGTGGGGCAGCATTATCTGGCCCCCTGGCCTGCTGGTGCCTCAGGAGCCAAAATTAGTCCCCAGCCCAGCCAGGCCTTGTATGGGCACTAGGCGGCAGGCTCCCCCCTCCCTTGCTCCATGGACTCTCATAGGATAAGCAGGGACACCCCCAGAGCCAGCTGTAGCCCTTTCATGCCCAGGAATGGGGCCACATTCTAGTGGTTGAGGGAGGGGCTCCCCTGGGGACAGCTGTCTGTGCTAGATGTCCTCAGGGGTTGGGGTAGGTCACCCCCACCCCTGGGATGGAGTAGCATCTGAAGCCCCTCAGTGACCCTAGGAGGCTGCAGGGACTTGGGGTGAACACTCTCCAGCCCTCGCTCCCTCAGCCACACCCCCAGCTAAGCCAATGAGCCCTGAGCCTGCCAGACCCAATGGGGGCTGGGGCCCCAGTTCTCTGTTCCTTCTTCCTTGGCTCTCCCCCAAGCCCAGTCCTTCCCTGCCTTGAAGTCAAAGCCCTTTCCCCAGCCCAGGATTCAGGCTCTGCTGCCCCCTCCTCTCAACCCCCCTCCCACCCTCCAAAGCATCTTCAGCCAGTTAAGGGGCTGGAGGAGGTGGCAGATTGTGAGTGTGTGAGAAACAGAATGTGAGAGGCAGAAATGGGGGGTGGGGACAGGGAAATAGTGACAGGGACTCAGAGGACAGGGGTGTGACAGACCGGAACAAAGAGATGGAAAGAGACTCTAAGGCGGGCAAAAAGATCAAGAGACCAGAGAAACAAATGCAGAGAGATGTGGCTGAGAGACAGTGACAGAATACAGACACTTAGAAACAGAGGGGGAGACACGATGCTATAAGCTGTGACCTCCTCCACATACCCACCCTGACAACTCCTCTCCAGACCCCTCACCCCTTCTGCATCCCCAAACACCAGACCCACCGTCCCCTTGAGGGCCTGGGTTGAAGGTATGAGACCTCTCCTGGGTCCCCACTTCTCTGGAGCAATTTTGCCCCCTCATTCTGAGCTGAGTGAGCCCCAGTGGGCCTGCCCACCCCAACTGTGCCCAGGCCCATCCCTCACCGCAGCCTTGTAGATGTCATCCATGTCGGAGGCTCACAGGACAGGCTGCTGGGGTTGCCAGCGGCCCTCCAGCCCTCGGCTTAAATAGCCCTGCCCAGCTGCATTCCCAGCCCAGCCCACCCCTGCGTGCAGTATCCTCCACCCCCTCTCCCGTCTTTGTGATCTCAGGCTGGCCTGAGTTCCCGTGTCCTCTGCCCAGGGCAGGGACCAGATGAAAGGCTGCAGGGACCAGGTCTCTTTCCCTCTGTCCCCCATACTCCCCAAGGGACTTCCTGAAAGGTTTCTTGAATGAATGAAAATATGAGCCTAGGACAGGAGCTACAAAGTAGTGGTCCCCAGGCCAGGCCCCTACATACAGTAGCTTAACCTCTCACCCAACCAGAAGGGTGGGCTCTATTACCCCCACTTTCCAGATAAGGAAACTGAGGATCTCGGAGGGGTGGTGACCTGCCCAAGATCTGGCTGACTTGGCAACCCCTGCCTTAAGCTAAACCTCTCTGGAGTGGGGGGAAGAGGGAATATGCAAGGAGAGGCTAGGAGTGTAGGGTCCTACCAAGAGAAGGCTCAAATGCCAAGCCTAGCACATGATACTATGGAACTGGAGGAGAAAGTCACTGATCCATCGGAGGACAGGGTGGTCTTGAGCATTTCAGCCAGAGGTGCAGGAGACGCCATGCCCCAGACCTTCCATCCATCTCCCTAGGGAGACCAGTGCCCACTTTGGGCTTGAGTCAGCTATACTCGGTCGTTTAACAAACACCCTACAAATGCCCCATCTGTACCAGGGTCTCTTCTTTCTCACCCTCCAATTGGGTTACCACCTCCCTCTTCTAGGTCTGTCTTCCCCTGGGTTAGGGCTTCCTTCCCCCATTCCTGCACCGTAGTTCCTGGGTCCAGGGCCAACCTGTCTACGTCTACGCCTCCTTTTGAGCTCTGGAAGGGCACCATCTGGGGGTGCTGTGTCCAAAGGCCAGCACATACTCTGTCTCTCCACCTTTCATACAGAGCCACCTCTTGATAAACACACCAGCTCCCTGCAGTGCGCACTACTGCGTGCTGGGCACTGCGTGAATGAACCCACTCAACTCTTCAGCTGCCCCATGGACAGAGATCTCTGAGTCCTAGAGAAGTTCACAACCGGCCCAGAGTCACTCTGGACCCTGATGCTCAGGCTCTAAGTACAGAGCCTACCTTCTTCAATCCTCTCCTTCCCTACAGGGAATGAGCCCAACAACCAGGTGAGGCGCTATTACTGCCTCCCTGTTCCGGAGGGGGAAACAGAGGCCAGGCGGATCAGTGACTTGCTTCGGGTAGCTCCGGAGACGAGGGGCCGGAGCCTTCTGACCTCCCTTCCCGAGAGGCGAAACCCAGAGTTGTCACCGCTCGGGACCTCAGTTTCTCCCCAGCTGTGCGGAACTGGCGGGCTGCGCCACGCAAGTACAGATTACGCGTGCGAGTGGGCCCGCGCGGCCCGCGCATGCGCGCCTCGGGTGGCCGCTGTCAATTACGCGCGAGGGGCGGGGCGAGGCGAGAGCTCGAGAAGGCGGCGGGGCCAAGATGGCGGCGCGCTGTGCGGTGGGGGTGGCGGCTG